ATTCTCAATTGGCATACTTCCATTCAATTTATATTTAATGTGTTGATTGACTCATGGCGTTCTGGTGTATGGTTTTAAGTTACTTGCATGTGATCCACCCGTTTTTGATTCTTACAGATGAATCATAACAAACACCGAAATATCAAAATGTCCAACAGCTTTTGCAGTACTTTTCAACTGATTTTCAGGGTATGATTACATAACATAATCAGAAGAAGAAAGTAAATTCCTGCCATACAAAACGACTTGACATCTCATGGTGATACGGAAGAGTCAACTTTAAATTTAATTTTCTATTTTCCTTTGCAATTAATAAGCCTTTTGTATTTTCTTGTGAAAGTTGATAGGTGTGAATTATTTGAGGTGGGAGATTTCAGAGTTAACTTTAACACCTGTCTTAATGTCACAATTTCACTACTACTACCTACACTTAAGTGTAATATTATTACCCTGTACATCTATTAAAGAAGACCACTTGAAGAGCAGTCGTTAAAATTTAGAAATAGGTTAATTATTTTATCGTGGCTGAATTTTATATTGATCGTTGTCCAAACGAAAATAAAAGCAGTTAGGTTCACTCTTTTCTTATATTTCACTGCACTCAAGAAAAGTATCAGCTGTTTTGTAAAAAAAGACAGCATACACTTATAAGTGCCTATTCACGTTTCAACGAATTTAAAACATTGGTCGTTTACTTTTGGCCCGTTTATTGTCCTATTAACACATCAGGTGGAAAGGCAACTTGCAGATTCCAATCGTGTAAACAACGATCATTCACGTGCATAAACTGCGAAACTATTGGTGGAAATAGATTGTACTGCACTCCTCGCCAAAGACACTGTTTTATGTAGAACCAAATTTAACATCGTGTAGTAGTTTTCATTTCGTGCGTATCATTGGCGGTTTAATTTTGATGCTGCTTTATATTGGTTTGAATTAATTTAAAATATCTAGCACCGATTCGGCTGATGCAGTGGAAGAATATAGTCCAGGCTGTATCCTCGCTCCCGCTAGGAATATGATTCTCATTTGTTTTTTTTTTTCATAATTTTACTAAAAAAATTGAAACATATCCGTATGACAACGTTACTAATGGTCAAAAATTGTTTAAACAATTTTTTTAAACAAATTCGCAGTTTTCGATTTTTTCGATGGAAATAATTTTTTGGGGTATCCTGAACAAAAAAGTTCCTATGCAACTTTTCTCTAAAATCTACCGTTTTCGAGATATTAACGATTTTTTGATCAAAAAATTAAATTTTTTTAATCATTGTCATGAAAAACAATTTGATAATTTGGTTAGGATATTTGGTTTTGGTTTTGATAACCCCGGATACCTTCTCTCGAAGTTTACGAAATGATACACTAAAGACTGTGTGGACAGGTTGATGTCTATTTGGGTATCTTCGTTGGTCTTCCCAAGCTGCTTGTCTTACGTTCCCACTGGAATACCCTTATACAAGAATAATATCTTCATACTCTTTAGTTGTAAATAAATGCATTTTTTATTTAGCAATTTATCGCTAAGTGTCAAATGAATAAACAAAATGACACAAATAATAATTATTGTTATAACAACGACCATTTCTATTTATCAGGCTACTTTGATTGAAATATGAAATTCTATTTTTTAAAATGCTTGTAACTAACAAAAACCAATCAGAATAATATGAGAAAAAATTATTAAAATTAACCCGGCTATCATCCGTCAAAGTTTGTCATAGAGCTTGTAGAACGCCCTGTATATTTACATAGTTTTAAGACTATTTTAATTTTTTTAGTGATATTTAAGAAAGTATTTGAAACATAATAGATGCAATTGTATAAATTAGTCTTAGTGTAACAGTAATTCCGCAAAGATAAATAAAAGCTTTTATTACTATCGTTATTATAAATAAATAACAGTTTTGTAAAAAAATTCTTTCATGAGCAGAATGTTTAAATTTAATTAAATTGCGAATGACATATTAAAATTATTTCTATTTTTTCTAGAGATTCTCTGACGCCCAATATTGGTGTGATATCGAAATTTCGGAGCGAGTAATTTTGCGGGAATGAAAGATCCAATATTTTTATTTGCTCGGTCCAACGCGTTCGACGCTGGCAATCGGAGATATCGGGAAAATATCGGGTTCGGCGACAGAATCGGCAGCTTAATGAATACACAACTAATGAACAGATAAACTCGTTAATCTGAGAATATCGGGGAGCGGAAGGATGAAGATGGGGCGATTATATCATATAATCAGTCACTGAGCAAATAGCGGGCCAATAAAGTTGTCAATGCGTTGATTAATGCTTTTATACACCGGTGGATATGTATCTTCGAATTTGGGCAATATTTACAGCAGAACCGATTCAATCGTGTATACTTGTGGCCGCGAGATTTTTATTAACCCTCAGTTTGTTACCCACGGAAGCAGGTTTGCATTTTAAACTATAACGATACTAGTGACACAGATACGTATACAAAAAATTGGCGCCACAAGCCAAATTTCTTTCAGAAATACATTTTTCTATTTTTTCTTTGTATCTTCCACAATTTTTGGGATATGTACCTCAAATTTGAAGGTAGGCTAACTAAGATTCTGCATCATTAGCCCTGCCTAATAATCCTCACAATTTACAGGGTGATTTTTTTTCTGGGATCTAGTCTCAGCCCTTTAAAACTTTCTTCCGGTTCACCACTGGTCTTTTCTAGATTAAGGGTTTAATTCCTTGTTCAATTTAGAAATTGTTTGTCTCTTGCAATGTTTACGTATCTGCGGCCGTTTTCGAACAAAAAAAATAAAAAATGATTTCCTGTAACTCGCTAAATTAAAAGACAGATTTCAAGATCTTCTAGTAGGTTCTGACTGATGAGTAATGATTATTTTGTTTTATGGATTATGGTCTTCGGTTTTCAAAAACTATTTCTACCTACTTCGATAATTATTATTTGAGATAAATATTAACTACTTTTTAATTACTTATAACAAAGAGAAAACAAGGCTAATTAACAAATTTCAAAAATCATTGGTTGATGTTTTAGAATGTCGTCACTACTTTGTCAAGTTAACACCCTGTAACATGGTAACAAAGCATTTGCGGACATATGTTTATATGAACTTTTTTTATTTAAAATCATGCACACATTCACCCGCCTGAATAAACACATACTACTATAAAACATCCTGTACAAGGTGTCCTACTAAGGTCGGCGGGGTACGATATTAGAGAAACTCTAGAGCTAGGTTTTGAGTAATAAATCGACCGAGAGAAATCGCTGGAAATAGTTTTCAAGTATATTAAATAATACAAATATGGATAGCTGGATTCATTGCGCATAACTTTTGTTATTGACATTTTCTTCTATCTCTCGATAGAAAAGGTGGGAGAAGCCCCTAATGTCTAATCAGAAAATACATTTTTTAAGGATTGGTTCATCAAAAACCCATACTGTTATACCTCTTTCGAAATGGCATTTCATAGTTTATCTCGTGGTGAATGCAAAATGTCATTTACCTTAATATGGAAACCTATAGATGGCGTTATTTCAAAAGAATGCCGTTTTATGGATTTTTCTCAAAAATTTTAAATGCAATGCTATAGTTTTCTTTACATAAATGAATTCAGCACAAAAAATTGATGAATATAGTATGTTTGAAATTTCTAACGAAAGTGTTGTTTAGCATTCTTTTGAAATAACGCCATCTGTAGGTTTCTATATTGAGGTAAATGACATTACGCATTCTCCACGAGATAAAGCATGAAACGACTTTTCAGGAAAATTCAACTCTATGTTTTGGTATGTAGATTGCTCCCCCTAGCGGTCGAGCTGCGGATTTGAAAACTATTTCCACCGATTTCTCTTGGTTGATTTATTAATCAAATTTTTTTTTCCCGAAGTTTTAGGGCCTATACTGTCCCTAATATCGTACACACGCACAAGATAAAGGTTTCCAATCTAAATCGTATTTTGTTTGAAATATGATGGCTTAACCGCTTGTCTATATGGGGCGTTCTTTATAATATTTTTTTATTTTGTTGCCTTCATGACCTACCTACCTACTTTCTGCAGAATATGACACAAATTCTTATTTCAAAATATTAATTTTCTCAGGGACAAGAAAAATAATGTGACAAGACAAAATAATTTCAAAACCTGTATACTCTTCTCTTTTTATAATGCATATCTTCAGGCCTGCAATTTTTTGTTATGTGTCGTTACACACGTGCCTACACAAAAAAAATATGACACGCCCCTAATTATTGATGCCTCCTAAAATTCCTATTAATAGTCCACCGGCTCGTCCCTTTAAAAGTAGTATGCCTTTTAGGTTGGAAACCTTTATGTTGCGTCGAGTGTACATCGCCAACCTTAGTGGGGAACTCTGTATATTCTATTATTAGCTTTAACGTTTTTGTTCTCTTTTTTAAGGTATTAATCAAATTCAAACAAATCTTGTCAAATGAAGTCGAACATCGTTCTTCGATACCAGAATTCTAGGTATGCAAAAAACATCTAACCTTACAAACAAGATTGTTTTATTTAATCGAGCGTTTGAATCTCTCAGTCAAAGTGTTCTCCATATTCTGTATTTATAATGGTGCGGTATGATATTATGTTCTAATATTGTATATCTTCTATAGTTTCATACGTAATATTCAATATTACTTCGGGAATAACGTCACCCGAGTTATTAGTACATTTCAGATATACATCTCTGAATGACATGTCAATCATCCTTTCTGTGTCACTGCACTCTAATAAACTTAATGCCATTTTTTAATCATATTAAAATAGCTAGTTGCAGTTTTATCACTTTTTGTTTTCGAGGCAGTCGCTTTAAAATATTTTCATCTTCTAAGGAATAATTCAGTGGATGATATTTCTCTGAAAGTACTCTTTCATATTGTCCTCAGATATAACTGTTATTCGGAACTGAAAATTTGTTTCCTCATTCCAGATATTACTTTATTTCTACCTCCTAAAATTACTTCATTATTATTAACATCAGTTTTTCTCTTTCAGTGATTTCTTCAGTAGACGCGGTGCTATCTAGAAGTGCGACGCTGCCCTGTGATATAGAGCCAGATATTCGAGAAGACAGGGTGTATATGGTGCTCTGGTACAGGGATGGCCATAGCAAACCAATATACAGGTATGATCGTTAGATATGCATATGCGTCATCACATCCAAGCCCGTTAATAATAAATTATAAGATTCGCGGAACAGAAATCAATCTCTATTTCCGTATGTTCTCACAAAGATATGTCTTATAGCCATTATAATTACTTAATAGCTTTAATTAGCATAAATGAAAAAGGAAATAGCAAATAAAAAGTTCAGTTTTTAAATGATTTTTTTTCTAACTTGAGCTGACTTAGCAGCAGTTGTCTGTTCTTCACCACACAATTCAGTTTTGGAACACTCGCATTGATATGAATTTCGGAACATAGTAAAAAGTAATTTTTTAATATGATTTGTGCTGCCATGTTGGATCATTTCTTTACTTTCAAGTTTCAAACAATTTGTAATGTTTCACGCACGATATTAAGTGTTTTTGTGATGAATATGGTGGTTCACAACTTTCCCAAAAAGAAAAAATTGTACATACAATGCACCCAAACAAATATCGTAGTATAAAAAAGAAATCAAAAAGACACTCCAAAATTATATTTATCAGACGCCACTGGAATTTAGTCGACTGTAATACTTGACCTAGAGCAATGCAAGCACAGTCAATGGATATATGCAAAAAGTTTACGTACCTACAAAAAACAAATAAAATTAAACAGGTTAATAATACAAATTCAATTATTGCTTATTTGCTGGTATTTTAGTTCTTCTTTTTAGTTCTAAGACAGGAACCAAAATGATCATCAGGGTGGGCCTAGGAGTCCTGATAACGGACCCACCACCACAGAGCCTAGACTGAGATCAACAAGAGCAGATCGAAGATTCTTAGCTAAAGCTAAAAATGTGCAATGTAAGCCTGACTGCCTGCGTCTAGGTACATAAGTTATGGCACAACAACTCGAAAAAACGAACGTACTTTAGACATATACAATTCCATTTAGAAAACATTATTAATTAATTTATTGTAGTAGGATTAAATTATATAGGTATAATAATTTACTTCTGGTTTGACAAGTTTTAATTTGTTTTTCAAATATGGTACATATAATATGGTACAAAATATATCCTTACGTACGTAATACGTAAACTAAGATGGCCACAACTTTAATTAATTATAATATCAGACTAACTATAGAAATTAATAACAATACAATTGTACATGAGAAACTTGGTTGATACAGATAGATCACAATACTCTCGATAAAATAAGTAAATCAGTTAATCCCAAATGCAATTTTCTTTTTCCGTTTTCGCCGTAAGTGACGTCACTCCGTTATTTTAAATGGAATTTTTTCCAAAAGGAACACCAACAATTTTATTAGTCAGGAATATGTAAAAGAGGAAATTAAGATTATAGATTACCAAGTTATATTTGAAAATGAAGAAAATTTGAATTCTCAAAAATGTATTTTTATATCCGATATTTTAACTTAAACTAAAGACAATAAAATACATGCATAACCTCAAAAGAAATATGTATTCTGTGCGATCCCAACTACGTAATGAATTGATTAAATAGAATTTTTACCCAAGCTTCGTATACTGATCAGAAGTTATGGTCAGAGGACATTCTAACCATTTTGTAAAACTATCAATCGCTGGCAAATTGTAACTGTAATCATCAGAATATCTAAATAAATATTTTTGTACGATCAAGCTTTTTTAGTTCACTTGCCATGTTTGTTTCTACGACAGTAGGATGCGCTTACTGATTGGTAAGGCTAACAAAACGGTAAGTAATTCACTTACCGTTCTAGAACGGTAAGTGAATAACTGTCAAAATAGACATTTTCAGCATCGCATTGATTTGGAATGAGTTTTCTAGAATTCAGTTTTAAATGTGAGTAACTGATATAAAAGAAAGATGTATTTTAAATCTATTTATTAATGTTCAAATTAAATGTACAGTTTGTACAATTGCTTACAGAAATTGGAGCCGTACATGTTTTTTCAATTTCGGTTTCAGTTATATTTTTATTTAAAGTAAAATTAGCTATCGAGGCCATTGAAGTCGAAGCTATAGTAGCAGATAATGGTTCAGCACAGGATTCAGAAGTATTGCAGGATGATGTGTTGTTATTATCGTGAAGAATTTTATCTGCATACTGTAGTTTATTTTGAAGGGAATCTTCGACGTAGCTTTCGGCAACGGTTGAGGATTTCCATCCCCCATGGTTTCCCACCCTGGTTGTAGCACCTTCCATTGCGATAATTCAAAAATACATGCGAAGATTTTGTGTTTGTTGGCCGCAAGTTGATATACTTGCGGTAAATTTCTAAATAATGGATATTTTCATCCTGTCTGTTTGTAACAGTAAATATTCGTAGAATATTTGTTTTTGTTTGCGGAATTTTTACAACTATATATGTTCCTTGTTCGTCAATATCCTGAATGGTCATATTGTATAACTCTTCCCTTCTACATGCTCCCGATATTCCTAATATCAATGCTACCTAAAATGCAAAACGATTCTTAGCACCTATTCATGTAAAATCATCCAGATTTACCTTATGAATTAAATATCTGTCATCTGGTGCCTCAATTAGGAATTGCGACATGTCTTTCTTAGTAAACACACTGGCTTTTTTTGGTCTGTAACCAACATTTTTCTGTTTGAGGTAGCCAATTAATGTCGAAAATTTGGAAATGTCAAGCGAGTCATGAACAAAAATTATCCTTTTTAACATTGAATACTCCGCCCATAAGCTTCCTGGAGCTTTTAATTTTTCGTTCCTTTGGACAAAGTAAGCCACCATAACTTTCTCGGTAATATGTTGGTTTTTTGTCTCACACCATTTCTTGAAAATCTTATATGTATTTTCATAGCGCTCCCTTGATTTCTCAGGAATTAATGTGGAACATCCAACACTCTACGCTTCTTCTAACTCTGCATCTAAAGACGAATCGCTCATTTTACCAACACTTTGCTTTCTTAAATTCTCGTAAATGCAACAACGCGTCGTAAAATTTGAGAACATCAATTATTAATAAATAACACCATAGCTACCGGTTCTAGAACTGTCAATTTCATCAATTAAGAAAGCCGTGACAACAATAAACATCAGTAGATTTCAAAAAACCTGCTTCGCAAATTTATTCAGAAACGTCATTTTTGACGTTACATAAAAAATTAAATACATATACATAATTTCGTTTTCATTTATTGCGATCGTGCAAAAAATAGTATAAGCACCACGAACGTTAAGAGTTATACCGTTCTCAGACAAAGTGGAGGCTTCGCTTCGCTCAGCCTCCAAACATTGTCTTCGAACGGTAAATTACCCTTACCGTTCATAATGCTTAATATACTATTTTAAATCTGCCTAGCCTAGCGTAACATCAAATTGTCCAATTTATGGTTTATTGTGTTTATGAATCTAAACACTGGCCTAAGTTGTTATATAGCAGACTTCTTTTTCGGCCAAAACTAATTACTTTTAATTAATCTTTTCAAAGGAATAACTCCTGGATTCAAAAATGGACGATGAAATATAAGGAAATCCAAATTTCTAAAGCTAAAACAACACTAATAACATAGTCATTAGAACTAACATGTAAAATTGCATGTTAACTGTTCTCTAAGTAACTAAATATTTTTGTCAGAACCATATTTGGAAGCGACTAATCCGCCCCGTCCAAAGTTTGTTTTTAAATTACGACATTACGGACGTTACGGTCCAGTAAGGAAAGTATAATGCGGTGGGACATGTTTAGAATAATAATAATGTTAGGTCCGACTTCAACAACGTTGATGCGAACATATGTTCCGCGCCACGGCTGATATATTACGGTCAGCAAAGCCTTTGTGAGCGCCACATCCCGAACAATGTTAGAAATATGTTGTTTGGGCTAAACAGAACTCGCTCCGGCCACGACGCGCCTTTTATAACAACATTCAATTCCTCCGCGTCTACGGAACAATTTCTCGCGAAAAATAAACCTCGTTATTGCTGAAAAATTCTGTACAATTTTCATTTATTGAAGGAGCTAGACTCCATTGAAAATTATGATGGTATTTAAATGGCAGAGATGTATTGTGCTGAAAGAATGATGCTCGTAATGTTAACATTGTTGCGCCGCGTTTTATATTCTTCCTTTTTTGAACAGAAACAAATTAACTGATGTGTATGGCTGCAAGAAAATTGTTGTTCAGCGCGAGCTTGACATCTAAAAGAATGGGAGAATTCCTATCGGTATTTGATTCAGCAAACTCCATTAAAAGTAAAATGGTGACCACTACTCAATAATTTTTAGGGAAACATTACCCTGCGGGGTAATGCCCTGACCAATATTGATTTATATTCACAGTATTTAGCAAAACATTGTGAGTATGAATGAGATACAACAAAATATATGAATGGCCACTACTGTTCAATGCCTTTAATATTTATTTATTTATTTATTTTTATTTTAAGATACATCTGCCCAACAGCTAAATACCAATTACCGGGCAGGCTAATTACACACATATTATTTACATATATAAAGTTAAGATAAAACAATCGTAAAAAACAAGCAAATGGACAAACTAAACAAGTTAAGTTAAGTAAAAGATTTAAAACACATAAATAGCACAAATTAAAACAAGAAAAAGGAATACTAAGATCCCAATATTATAGTCTTGATTTTGGAAACAGATGAAAAAAACAAGTCTATTGAACCTTGGAGCGACGTATAACTCATGCACATCCGATACAATGGAGATGATGATAACATATGCGTTTTCGGAAAAGGCAATCTAAAGGTGTCACGATGCCGAGAGTTCAAGCGAGGTACATTGAATTCTAGTCTGTTCAGGATTTCAGGACAGTCCATCAAATTATTAACGATCTTAAACAATATAATTATAGCAATACAGAGTCTACGGGAATCTAGGCTGTTAACTTTGTACTCTGCCAATAACATATCATGGGGATAACCTATAGGTGGATAAAATCCATGTAGCTTAAAATATACGTGTTTCAAGAACTTTCTCTGTACATATTCAATCATATACTTCTGATTGCCATATTTAGGATAC